ATGATTTGTTGGAGAGAGCAGTTGTGTGAGACATAATTTACAATAATATGAAACAGATGGTAGTTTTGTACTATTATCGGTGATCAAAAATAGCTGTTTCACTATTTTTGGCAAATTATTTTGAGCAGATAGAAGTAAATGAAATGAATTTAATAGTAGTTGCAGATGAGACTTATCGAGATTTATATCATGACTGAGTTTCATAATCAGGTTACATCCTTCACGTGTTGATAATGGACTCAATGGATGTAGCGGTGTTGAATTAGACAAATCATAGTACTTCTGGAAATTTTCAACCAAATCTTCATCCTCACTTGTCTGTTCTTGGATATTATGATCTTCCTCATCATCGGTTGCCACTTCTTCGTCGGATAAATCTGATTCATTAGTTGCATCCATCTTTTCTGAAGCAGTGTCGAGTTGACCAATATTCAGATTTTTCTCGCTATCGCTAATTACAGTTTCATCCTCATCTGTGTTCCACTAAATGGAGTTGAAATACATTTTTCATCTACGTAATTGAAGAATTTATATATGCCCTACTTATAAATATTTATACATTGAACGATTTATAAATCTTTTAAATTAAATTAAATCATATTATTAAATTAGATTATTTTATAATCTTTTAAATTATTTAATCAAAAATTTAAAAGATTTATGAATGACTCGGTCGATGAATTATAAATTACTTCGAGAGTTATAAATCAAGTTAAAGTTTATAGCTTAGGTCGAAATATATAACTCGCGTCGAACTTTACAAATCAGTTTAAGGTTTACAAAAATGATCAGGCAGCCTGTGCGAAAGACTAAGAAAAAAAGCAAGACTGAAGGAAAACAGAATCTTAGGTGTTAATTACCTGCTTTTCATAACATAATGAATCTTTTCTCTTGCATCTCTATATGGACAGGGTGTTATGATTCAACAATAGAAGAAAGTAAAATTGACAGTAAGAACGAAAAATGATTTTATAACCGCGAACTTTTTTAACACTGCTTATTACACGTTTGTTCATCAAAAGACTTCTAACCATCACGTGAACAATAATTCATCGCATGAAATAAGAAAAGACGTGTAAAAGAAAAGAAATACGCGAGAATATAGTCATCTGGCTAGAAGGGCCCTTTTTCACTACTTCAAACTACACAAGAACTCATCGTATACTGTATAACACATACACCACATAGACATACAACAAGAGAGGGAAAAAATGAAGATGAGAGAGAGAGAGAGTTAAGTGATGGAATAGAGAAAGGAATAATTAGGCAGAGATAGTTGGTTTTATCTCTGTATTTTGCTGTATTTCTCATCCCTGGTTCGACATGTGACCGGTTTATTAGAACTCGAGTAAGAGTAAGATAAGTTGATGTCATTTTGCATTTCGTCTGTGAGTTCTTACCTATAAGGTAACGTTCGCCGTATGTGAAGAATGCATTCACGCTTGGACTCCCAGTGAATGCATATCCGAAGGTAACTAACGCTANAATAATTAGGCAGAGATAGTTGGTTTTATCTCTGTATTTTGCTGTATTTCTCATCCCTGGTTCGACATGTGACCGGTTTATTAGAACTCGAGTAAGAGTAAGATAAGTTGATGTCATTTTGCATTTCGTCTGTGAGTTCTTACCTATAAGGTAACGTTCGCCGTATGTGAAGAATGCATTCACGCTTGGACTCCCAGTGAATGCATATCCGAAGGTAACTAACGCTACAGCTAAGAAAAATTTTGAGTTTTTACAATAGAAAAGGATTTGACGGATATATTGATTCATAGCAGAGAAAACAAATACTAAACACACATACCAAATAAGTTCTGTTTCTGACATGTTGACGCCAGCGACGAATATATTCAGTATGAGACCGTTTATAAAACGGGAACATTTGTTTCTGTATTAATTAACCCACAGTAAAATTAAAATAATGAACGTACCACTAATAAACATTAAGCTCTTAACCTAAAAAGTAAGAAAATAAGAGTTAAACATTAGTATTTTTCAATGTTCTAATCCTCTCCTGAGGAAGAGTCGCGTGAATCGGAGATGCACGCTACTTGTGGAGATATTGATGACACTACATGTTAGAAAAGAGAACGTGTGATAATATATTGAAAGAAAGGGGAGTGGGTAGAAAAAGCCTGTATTTTCCTCTTCGCTTTTCTTTTCAGGAAAACTGATAGTAACATTTGAAAAAATTAACTTTTAAAGCTGAACCGAGAAGAAAATACATGTTCAAATCCACAAGGTTTTTCTGATTACTCGTGCAGAGAGAGTTTTTGATTGGTATCATCACAGACTTGTACATTACGTGCACATAACAGATCATCTAAAGTCAAACATGATGGAAGAGGAGAATGCTCATCGATTGTATTGCTTCTCAAAACAGCTGACGGTTTATTTTGACCGGCTGCTATTATTCATGGGCAATGTAAGTTTCTTTCTGGTTATTTTGACACTGTCACGATATCACACACTGAGAAAAAGAAGAAATACGCTATCATGTTTATTTTACTTGATAGCGTCGAGTGTAGTTGATTTATTTGTTTTCAATTTTGCCTTGGTGTTTGTGTTTTAACTGACGGTTTTGACTATCGACAAACACCAACAATTTGTAAAATATGGCAGTTTCTGGTGCAGGCATTCTCTGAAAATTCGGTCGTTGAAATTTTCTTAAAAATTATTTTTGCTTGTGCAAGGATGCGTACAAGTGTTGGTCATCGAATTCCGAAAACCACAGCTCTATACCTCATTCCTGCTAAAAGTAATTTAAAAACTAACCGACTGCCTTGCATTTTGAAGGCGATAATAGTTCATAAAAAGCCACGTATCAATTTCTTACGTTATCTGAATTAATTATATTAATATTAATATTAATGCGAAAAAATAAATGTGACGAAACGAGAGCGGACGAAATGAGACGAGAAAAATACTTATTTCAAAAGTTGAATCAACGATTCAATGCTCGAATCAATTACTCAAATCTGTAGCCTTCAAAAAACTGTGGGGTGCAGTTTCTATTGTTTATAAATGTGACATGATGTCAGGTGAGAAAAAGGGAACAGACATTATACAATTAATGTGGAAATCCCAGTTGAATGAATCTAGTTATTATAATCACTTGTTCTGTGCCAAAGTCGCTCGTAAAAAAGCTGTATTTACCTAACTATTAACAGCCAACTCAGAAAATTCATATCTCTGATAGAGTAGAGTCGTGGGTACTTTTTTGTAAAAAGAAAAAGATTTCAACTCTCTCAGGTTAGCAGCCGTAAAGAAATAAATCGCTTATATCTCACGAACACTCCAGTAAACGACTTGATGGGTGATCAGCATTCGGTAAGAGCTATGACCACATAAAATTAGAAGTCCCTAGCTATCATGATTCTTGAGCTACAGGGGTATACTTTTGCGGGATTACTTTTTGAAAAAATAACCTCGTACTCAAAGGGTTAATTAACTCTTTCTTGCCTTTGGCTAAAGCTGACGGTTCTGAAGGACAACTCGCTCAACAGCATCAATCTTATGGTCTCTAATATACACACAGGAAAAGTTTGAACCAAATATATATTCAGTGAACGTCAAAAAAAATATTTTTATGATAAAGATTACGTTCAGATTAACTAAATTTTTGTAAAATGGTAGGGCAAGAAAGGGTTAAGATAATGTAAGAAATTGATACATGGCATATTGGTATGCTGATGCGTATCAGTTTGGACTAGTCCGGTTTTCTAAATCTGGATCAATAACAATTTAATTTTAACGAAGTCATATTGTATCCTCCGTGGTAGAATTTAACTGTTAGACCGAAAAGCTTTTGCAGGGACGTACTTAGTAGGTGGACCTGCCCAAAGGTTTTTCGTTCATTCAAAAAAGACATTTTTTTGAAGAGCGAAAGACACAAAACAGAAATTTTCTGAACTTTCAGAGGGTAGTAGTAACCACTTCCACAACCCCTCAGTAGGTACTTCCCTGAGCTTTTGCAAAGAAACAATACTCATCAATGGAACAACGGCAAGGGCTTGACAGTTTAACCGTTAGATTGTTTCATGGGCTATAACCTGAACTATCATATGTCTATACGATACCATTTAATACAACAACATTTGTGTAATAGTAATGTTCTATACAGAAACTGTCAGTGCTTAACCGTTTTTTTTTTGTATTAACTTTTTATTAAAGTAAATCGTATCGTGTTATCGGACACAGAGCGCCCATTGTAAGCAACATAAAAAAATAATAAATTCCAATGTTTGAATAATAATATCAAGTGAACAAAAGATAAAATAGAAGTGGTTAAAGAAGACATTTTCTGTTATTTACCACACTTTTAAGCGTACCTAATGACAAAAGAAAAAACAACAAAATAAGCACTTATGTGTAAGAAATGGAAAAATGATAAAGAAGAAGACAGAAAGAAGTAATGGACGCTCGAGGAGATGATATAGAAAATATCAATAAGTAACGGCAAATAAATTAGGACGGCAGACTGATATGTGAACTGCATACTGTGGCGTTAAGCCTGTAATACAACACGAGTTATGTATTTAACTCTAATTCTCCAGCTTTCCGAAGCAAATTTACAAACTAATCGTTGACACCACTTCTATCAAAATATGGCATGACATCAACGACTTCTTGAATTACTAAACAGACGTTACTGTACCGTTGCGCAAACACTTACATGAGAACTAAACAACGATTATGGAGGGCGATGGACAGATGAAGCCAATCCTTCTTCGCGCGTTTGCATCATTGGAATTCGTAAATGATCATTTGAAACAATATATACTTGCTGTTGTTCATACATGTGAGTCATACATGATACAAGATAGCAGTACGAAGAAGATGCAATATTAAATTTTTTAAAACTATTTATGTGTATATATGCATCCAACAAAAGAACTACGCAGAAGCAGATAGTAAAAGAGAAAGTATGTATTAACCAGTTATTATTAGTTACTTATAATCTCTTTCCGATTATATAAGATAACAAAGAAAGACATATTGATATTGTTATTATTAAATATCAAACAAATGAATTGAAATGCACCAAGAGAAAGAAACAAGAGTTAAAAGATTCATGTAAATCTTTGCGGTTTTTCAATGTATTCATTCACAGCACGAAGCACAATAGTCATAGCATCTTTGTCAATAGTACAATCATTGAGTAGTAAAATGTCAACAGATAGCAAGAGTCCGATACGACTGAGTGCCAGTTGGAGATTTTTCCTGCATGGACTGAACAGAGAACATTCAAGAAAATAATGACTCGACGTTTCATTACCGTCAGCATAAATACATGTCGATGAATCAGTACAATGCCGTTTAAATAAATTATGATTAAGCCGAGGATTATTTGACTTCAACCGCATAAATAGAATCTCCGCTCTTCGATTCGGAAACTA